AAAAGCAGGGATGCTACGTAATGTTTCTTATAATATCGCAATGCTGTATCTCAACACGTCAATGTCCCTGGATCCAAGGTTCTTGCACAAATGGTTCACGAGGCAAAAATGTTTCAAGTATTGACCATTGTTTAGATTTAAGAATATCTAAGAAGCATCATATTGGAGGATCGCAATTCTTATCAATCAAATCAAATAGGTTTATAACAATGAAAGATAGTAATTCGTATATTATATCGTAATCATTATGTTTCAATAGATTAGATATATGTTGTGAAGATAATTCATGATTCCTATAGGAATGAATTTTGCATTTATCGCAACTTCCTGATCCAGTAACGTTTAGCAAATCAAAAAGAATTATTGTTTTGAATATCCAAACAATATTTTGAAAAAAAAGTTAAGAACGCCGCCTCCTCATCATCCATTGGCCGCGCCGCCTCAGGAGACAGTAAGTAGTGTACTTATGACACGGTGACATATACCTACATGTACACCCCACACACTCGCTGAATATAGGCTGGTTAACGTAGATTTCAGTAATGGAAAAGATGTTAGAACATCCAGGTTTCCCATATGGAGCAAAAGAAAACCTTATCGTCGTAAAAATATAATTTAAACAAAATGAATGACACGACTCAAAATTCTTTGGGTGCAGAACAGTTGCCAAATTATCATTCTTAAAATATTTATAGCACCTATTTTTTATGAAGCTCGCCTGTCAACAAATTAAACATATAATAAAAGTAATTGACATAATAAAAATAAAAATTGTGTACAGAAAATAAGTATGTTGAAATATAAAAGGTATACTTTCCTAAGGAAAATGATAAAATGTTTCTTTGAACATCGATTCCGCTTAAAATCCTCATAACTGGTTTGTTATTCCACTCGGTACCTGTTCGTATTGGTGATCCCTTCTCTTATATAAAATATATATTGATGGTGGCAACCGCCAACCAAGTCAGCTTCATCGTGTTCGCAAAACCTAGACACTATAGAGGGCATTATTTTCGTGGGGCTAATTTGCTATTTACTGAATTACTATTAAATATCTCTGTTGGTGAACAATTAAATGAAACTATTTCACAGTACTCATATTAAAAAATATTTATTTTTAAGATTTTTAACTTTTACCAATGGTAACAAAATGGTTACATGGACGCTTTGCCACTGTAAATATGTATGTCTCTACTGTTCCTGTTGAATTTGAAGTGTTTTAAATAGTGTGAGTGTACTACCTTTGTACTGGCATATACATTCGCTGTTGATCTAAGAGAGCCTTATTCAACCTTTAGATGAATTTTATTTATTGTTATGTACAATGAAGTGGATAGTAATACTCGTATATCGTGCTGCGTTAATTATAATAGTTATGCTTGAAAGCAGTGGTGCAGAAACATTGGAATCAACGCTCAGGTAGAAAGAGAAAGGAAAAATGAACGCTCGTGGGCACTCACCATGGTACCACCATGCGAGGACAGTAACTAAAGCTTGGTTTGCGACTGGTCCTGTAGACAAATTGGTTAGGACGTCTCCACGGAATGGAGGAGATGCGTGTTTGAATCCTGCTGGCGCCTATTTATCCTTTCTCTCAAGTTGTTGTTTACAAAACATACTCGCATGAATAACAAAAAAAATACGAGTATAATAAGAAATTGTTTGCGGATCATATTTGAAGTTGTACAAAAAAATGTCTTCCAAAAAGCGCCTATGACAGAACACTTACTAAAGTGTTGTTGGTGTTGACAGCACACCAAGATAAAATATTTTCGCAAATAGTTCAGCATAATTTGATGTTGATGTAACACGTAAACAATTTTTACTATCAGGACCGCAGTCATCAGGGTCCCACAGCAATTCACACTCAGTAGCTATTGGAGTTATTTCATTTTGACGTACAAACCGTTATTTTTTCCCATACTCCTTGAAAAGTCATCATAATAATTTAGTGTGGTCAAGTATCGTGTAATGAAATATTGTTCATGGCGATGAATAAAATTATAAATCTAAGTTCGTTTCTAAGGGAAATGAGCAGATAATTTTGATATGAACTATGAGGTACATGGTCAGTTATATAAAAAGTAGCTCAACGGTTATAGAGTGTATACATTTTTTATGAATGAACTGCATATAAGATTATTTTTGAAAGACAACCTTATACTTCAAAAAAATATCTAATTTTTTTTAAGTAAAGCTTTAAGAATCTGGCCTTATAGCTCGCAATAAAACAATTATTTTCATTGAAATTAGTTCAGTATTATCTAATATGCAATATTTTTTCATACCTTGAAAATGCATTGGGTACTGTTGCATTTATAAAAGTTGTTTGGACAGTCAATGTTTCCACAGGATTCTGGTTCATCTGATCTATCATCACAGTCGGGGGTTCCATCGCAGTGCCATGCTTTTGGAATACATATTCCAGACGACTGACACTGGAACTGATTTTCAGTGTTGCAGGTATTTGGAGCAATCGATGCTAAATGGAAAAATTGGTTCAGTGTAATATAAAAGAAATAACACATCTCAATTTTGAGTAGTTTTATCTCCAAACATTACTTATAAATATACATCTCCTTATATGGTAAAGCAAGAAGCTAGTTCATCTGGTATTAGATTGAACAATAGATCTAATCTCACTGTTTTAAATCTGTAAAATTTTGCAAGTTGTGTATAAATTACTTACGACATCCAAGCTCGTCACTTCCATCATTGCAATCCGGAATTCCATCACACTTGTAGCTTTCCTGGACACACTGCTTCAGATCAGCACACTTGAACTGGTTGGGTTGGCACGTAATGGGCGGACAGTCCTGTTCATCCTGTTTATCGTAACAATCGTCATCTCCGTCACACACCCAGTTTTGGGGTATACAATGTCCAGTCCTTGGGCAGGTGAATTGGAAATAGGCGCAAGTCTTCTCTGCACAAGATTCTCCTTCATCCGAACCATCTCCACAGTCATTTTCGGAGTCACATTTCCAGCTGTTCGGTATACACCTGCAGTGAACAAAGTATGGTAATAATCATCTTCAAGGTCATATTGGCAGTGCATTACATTGTATAATAAATGGTCTATCAAGGGTGTGTCAAATTCGACACTCACCACCGGGCTCTCGGAAACTGTAAGAGATACGAAGTCGCTTAAATGAGAGCAAAGTTGCGGATTTAGGTAATCAACAAAATGCCGCTTAGAAAGTTTCGAAATTCAAAGTATTTCCGGAGAGAGGCAGAAAAAAACAAATTTTCCCAAAATAGTTTTAATTTTTCCCTGACTTTATTTGTAGTGCCATTGCAACTGTCTCTCCTCTATCCTTATACAAGCTGGCTTAATTAGTATTTCAAAATGACGTTTCCAGCATCAAATTTATTTTTCTCATGGACGCCATATTGGATTTTTGCACAGATGAATAGAGTTTGCAATACATTGACTCCAAAAATGCACAATACGTCATACTTTGACATCAACAAACCCTACTTCTTTCAGAGAAGGTAGACCTTGAAATTATTAGATTTCATTTGCTTCGTATACCAGTCCAGACCTCGAATTAAACGTGGCAACAGAACTTGGAAGATTGAGAAGAAGAGAAATAATAATTGAGGATTGGTTTGCTGCCAATATGCTATTGCTCAACACTGATAAAACTCAGTCTATAATACTAAGCTTACGCAGTCATGAGTTGGAATCTGCTCAAACAGTGAAATTGCTAGGCGTTCATATTGACTGTACTCTGACATGGGAGGTGCATACTCGCTGTGTGGTGGATCGTTTGTCCAGAGTTATATATCTCATACGTAGTCTAAAGGATCTGATAAAGTTTTATTAACTGCTTATCATGCATATTTCCACTCTAGAATGACATATCGTTCATTCGCAGGAAAACCGTCACAACTCAAAAAAGATGAAAATCCAGATTACTACACCAAACGGTTCAGAATTATCTACTTTATTATGTGGAAAAGTGTCACATCTCGACTTTCTCAAACTACCAACAGGTGGCACTTATGTCGTTTTTGAAGTGACGTATCCTTGGTACCCCTTATAGGTCTAAACCGGCACAATTCAGTATTAATCCAGTCGTCATAGGGGAATGTACTAGCTTTGAGTGGAAAACCGTCATATTTCAGATTAAAACACGTATTTTTTTCCGAGCTATTGAAGAAAAGTGTAGCATTACGTGTTACTACGTTTTGATAGGCAGTGTTCTTGGACGAAAACTGTTATATTTCGATTTGTGTCATTCTTCAAGATAAGGTAAGCCCTAAAATATTCTTTTATTTCTTTCCTAGACCGTCACATTTAATGTTGTGTCAGTTTTCTCCTGAAATTGATGGCAAAACCGTACTATTTTGTGCAGCATTTGTGGATATGTCGGTTTTCTACTGAAATTGACTCTAGAAAGTATTCTTTGTTCTATATTGCAACATTCGGTTTTGCCACTTTTATGTGTAACATTTTTAATGTGTATTAGACACTTGCTTCAAGTAGCTGATTCCAGAGCATACAAGTTGTATTTACAGTGATGACTACTCATTCATAAAGCAGTTCCAAATACACTATCTGGCTTGATTCAAGCACAGCCAGACTGCTGAACCTCCCGATGAAACCGATGTGTTTGTTCAGATGGGTGTCGTGTTTATAATAAAGCAAAATGGCAACAAACAGCCGTTGTTTCTGAGTTATATTTTCCAGATTATAGATTAATCCGACGTGTTCGCTCTTGTGTTGCGACGTTGCCATATTGAGCAAAAAGTACCAGATCACATTACATAAAGAACAAGCATTACGTTGAATCTATTAAATGAGTTTTGCTGATCAGGCTGGAGTTTGGGAATTGATTGAGTATGGTCAACATACATGATATTCCATGTATTTCGAGGAATTATTCAAAATTATTGGTTTCTGAAACTATAATTTAATTTGCCTCAAAAAAGCTGAAAAATATGTTTTCAGGAAACTAATACCAATTTTTATGAATTTTTTTTTAATTTTAGCTATGGAGTATAGTAGTCGAACAAGGAAGATGGCGGCAGATGCCCTAGAAATGCAGAAAGAGAACTTGGCAATATGTCAAATTGCTGAAGTGCCTGGAACAAGCAATGGGCTTGACTCTGACTCTGGACCTGAAGAAGACCCATTGGGTTCGAATGACTCCAGAGCTGACCCGGATTTCAGTTCCAATACCAGTGAATCATCAAGTGATTCCAATGGAGGTTTCGCAGAAGAGACTGGCCAGAGTTCGCACCGCTGCTCAAATGTAGCTAGAAAAGTAGTAAATTGCAGCCAGACAACCAAAACTGGAAGAAAGCGTTTAAGGTTCCCGGAAAAGTGGCGAAAAAATGCTGCAAAAGCTCTGAGAAACGAAGGTAAAGAATACGTGTCAGTTTCGAAAACCAGAAAATTGCACCCTTCTAGGACCATTCTGCCTCCCTGTGGAGACAAATGCAAGCTGCAATGCAGCAAGAAATTTACAGATGAAAATCGTAAAACTCTTTTTTCCGAATATTGGGGCTTAGGCAATTTACATAGGCAACGAGACTTTTTAGCCACAAGTATGTCCCTAGTTCAGCCTAAGTATCAATATAAACGGGACGGTAGCCATCGCCAACAAAATAACGCTTTTTACTTCATCCTGAACAATCAAAGGACTCGCGTATGTAAATATTTTTTCAAAGCTACACTAGCTATAAATGACAGACCGGTTAGAACAGTGGCTCAAAAAAAGGCATTAGCACCAACTGGGCAAATCATAGAACCTGACAGACGAGGTAAGCATCGGAAACATCCAAAATTGGACGAAGGCATAAAAAATAGCGTAAGGAGTCATATAAGAAGAATACCAAAGATAGAGAGTCATTATGCGCGCTCAAATACGACCAAAGAATTTATAGAAGGAGGGAAATCCGTAGCAGACCTTCATAGAGAATATGTAATGCTTTGTAAAGAAAAAAAGGTTGCAAGTGCCAACTACAATATGTATTTCAAAATATTCAATGAAAAGTTCAATCTATCTTTTTTCGTTCCTAAGAAAGACCAGTGCGACTTTTGTACTGCTTTCGAACAAATGAGTGCAGAAGAGAAAGCTTCTCAATATGAGAAGTATAATGAACATCAAAAAGAAAAAGAACTGTCAAGGGAAGAAAAAGAAAAAGACAAAAATTCAGACATGCACGTAGCCGTGTATGACTTGCAAGCAACATTGCCCTGCCCCAAAGGAGATACTTCTAGTTTCTACTATATATCAAAGTTGAATGTGTATAACTTCACAGTTTTTGATCTAAAGAAGAAAGATGTTGACTGCTATGTTGGCATGAAGGCCATGCTCATAGAGGTGCAGACGAAATTGGGACATGCGTGCTCAAATACCTAGAAAATATTAACACTAGAGCTGAATCACAACAAGCGGGGATTGATGTAGTATTTTACAGTGATAACTGTGGGGGCCAACAAAAAAATAGATTCTTGTTGTCGACGTATCTTTACGCTATTTCACACTTTAACTATATAAGAAGCATTACACATAAATATCTTACAACAGGGCACAGTCAGAATGAGGGCGATAGTGCTCACTCTGTGATAGAAAGGCATATTAAAAGATATTTGAAGTCTGCTCCAATCTACACCCCTGAACAATATTACAGTCTAATCCGTACAGCTAAAAAAACAGGAAATCCATACAAAGTCACAGAAATGTGTCATTCAGATTTCTTTGATTTGAAAAATCTACCATTCCAAATGCAGTACAACAATTTCACCAATAACGCAGATAACGAAGCTTTCAAGCTTTCTGAAGTAAAGGTTATTATGATATCCAAGGATCACCTACATACTGTATTTTACAAAAATTCCTACAGTGAACAGGAATACAAAAAAATAATTGTGAGAGGCCCCTCAAGAAAGAATCACGACCTCAATAACCAATCGGTCGTGCTTAAAAAAGCATATCAACGCAAACCAGGGATAAGTGAAAAAAAGAAAAACTCGTTACTATCCTTATTTAAAAATCCTAATAAGTCAACCGTACCACGAGTTTACTTAGATTATTATAAAAATTTATAAGTTAACTCTAAACTTGTATCAAGCTTAAACTTGTATGAAGGAATACAAATTTTATACATATTTCGGCTGCACCTGCACTCCCGCAATCTCCAAGAATAGTATTAAAAATACTTTTACATTTTGAGAGGCGTTTCGGGACAGCTAAGACGTTAGTAAAGATTGTATTGCTTAATACATTAATGTTTAGGATTTACCAATTTGACGGAATTTATTTGTTTCACCTTTTTTATGTCTAGGCATGTTTCACCCATTTGTCTTTTATGTTTGATGAATGAGTTCTCAATAAGTATTGTTTGTAGTTTTATAAGGTAGCCTGGAACTTGTAATAAAAGTTTTTTTAGTCTCAATGTGTGTTTCATCTCAAAAATTGATTCAAATAATCTGGCAGAAAAGTGACACTTAGTCATTTTTTCTTGTGAAAAAAAACAACTATGACCTCGATATTAAGAAAGAATTCCTCTAGGACACTGACAAAGTGCAATGAATGTTTTGGATTGAATAAGTTAAACATAATAAATAGTAAATACACTTAACCTTTTATATCATTATTTCAACTGCCCCTGATGAAAATTAAAGGATTTTTAGTTGTGACGGTTTTCCTGCGAATGAACGATATGCAATTTTGGTCTGGGGACACTCTCCACATATGCAAAAAAGTGTTTGGCATTCAGAGGCGTTGTATACGATACATCTCTGGTTTGAAATATAGAGACCCCTGCAAGGCTGAGTTCATTAAATTGGCCATACTAACCCTTCCATGCGCGTATATTTTGAGTTGTCTCCTATATATCAAAAGTAATATTAGTACCTTCCCCATTCATAGTGATAACCACAAATATGAAACACGACATAGAAACAACATTTGTCATAATAACTACCGTCTAGAAAAATCAAGAAATGGAACAAACTTTTACGGCATTAAATTTTTTAATCTGCTGCCCAACAATATAAAAACATTGGATATTAATGTTTTTCATAGGAAACTCAAGTATTATTTAATAAAAAACGCATTCTTTAGCACGGACGAATATTTGGCAAATGACTTTACTGATATACCTTAAATGTTTATTTATTCATTTCTCTCTCCAACTTATGTACAGTTGTTATTGTTTTGTTTGTCTGTATGTGTATAGTTAATTGTATTATACATATATCTTTCTTAGCGATCTTCTTTTATCTCATGACATTTTTGTATTGTTTTTTTTTCAATTTGCTTTTGGTAATTATGCGTTACGCAGCATTGCATTGTTTTTAACTTGTTTTATTTATGTTTGATGTAGATTTTTCTAAGCGTTCTATGAGTATATATTGACTTGTGTAAACACTTTCTGTGAATTCACATCAATAAATTATTATTATTATTATTATTAAATATAGCAGTAAATAATCTACATGCTTTGCCTACAAAATAACGGATAACATTTTGAACATCTGCTATGATTCAGCTCTGCTTATTATTATTATCATCAATAAAATTTGCATTTTGTGATCAAGTCTCACCTTACCTTTATATTTCCTTATAATTTTCATCCAACAACAATTTCGTAAGCAACTAAGGAAATACATCACTGAATTTAGGTCTGAAAAGTCCTTTTATATGTACAAAATTCCAAAAACAAAGCTGATGATGGAAATCGAAAGAAGAAAAGTCGAATTGCAAATTTGACTACGCCATCTTGTAGAGGATAGTAAATAACAATGACAACATGCAATTTATCTTCAAATCTCCTCTCAAGTAAGGCCAGGAAAAAACAATATTGATTTTTGGATAAATCTGGTATGCGAAACAAATGACTATCTGATAATTTCAAGACCTAACTAGGAAATTCCGCTGTTTGGAAATAACTAAGGTTTGGCATGTATGACGTATCATATATTTTTGGAATCAAAATTAAAAGATCTATTTACCTGTGCAAAAATCCAATATGGCGTTAATAAGAAAAAATAAAGTTTATGCTTTATGGCAAGAGACGAAACGTCATATTGGAATTCTGATGATGACATCTTGTAAAAGAGAAAAAGTGGCAATGTTAATGTGCAATTTATTTTAAAATCCCACCAATAAAGTCAAGAAAAAATTAATACTATTTTCTTAATTACCTAAATACGCATCTTTGCTCCCATTTAGGCGACTTCGTGTCCCTTACAGTTTTCGAGATTCGAATGGTGTGGGTCGAATTTGAAACACCCTGTATATATACTATCCGAAACCTTTCTGAAGTCATGTCAAGTAATAGGACAATCATATCAAGTAGTTATCAATTAAGAACTTGGAAAATTAAGTATCTCTACTTCACGCAGTTAGAAAAAGCTATTTTAGCATTTATACATACCTTCCATTATCACAGTGGAACTGCGTTGAACTACAGGTGACATTGACACATCCAGTTTCATCACTAAAATCTCCACAATCATTTTCTGCATCGCATTTAAACGTCATCGGCACACAGCGACCCGACTTACATTGGAACTCATTTGCACCACAAGTGGGCTCTAAAAACAAAATATATAAACATTTATCCAACAATAGTATGCTTGTATGGTTTAGAAAATATAACGTATCTTAAAAATAATTATATCTCATTATCTTTTCGACGGAGATAGCGAATGGCGTTTAGTCACGCCGCCAACAAATGTCTCCTTGTATTCATTTTGTACTTTTGACCATTAATAAATCGGTTAATATTCAGTAACGATTCAGAACTGTGCACATCGGATGCATCAAAAAGATTACTTAATTCTTAGCTGACTTTGTGGAAACAGACTCAAATTTTTGAGGTAAATACTCTCTCTTAAAAAGCACTGTATATTTACTTACTCGTACAGTTCTGTTCTTCATCACTATTGTCCAAACAATCATCATCACCATCGCACACCCAGGACTTCGGGATGCATCTCTGGTTGTTACAGGTGAAGTCCCAATTGTTGGGGCACGCCTGTACGGGTGGTTCATGGTTCGGGTCTGCTTGGCACGTCCTGCCATCACCATTCAGTCGTTCTCCATAGGGACAACCACATTTAGCCGCTAGGTCAAGGGAGTTTTCTTTGGGGATCGCGAAGCAAAGCTTCTGGCATCCGCCGTTGTTTAACCAGCACGGGTGACCAGGAGCTATCATCTGGAAAAATAGAATTCTCAGTTGGTCACAATCTAACATAGCTATCAGAACCACCATTGCAATGGTTAGAGCTTTGCCAGACAGTTAGGCGTCATAATCTTGTTGTTCAGATAGTATAAAAAGGTGGAAAAGGAGAAACGGGAGAAGAGGGAACAAAAAGCGAAGAGGTAGACCAAATGGGAAGAGATCAACTAGAATCAGATATCTAGAACGGTAATTTCAAAGTTTGGTGTCGTTAGGTGAAAGAGTTCTAACTGATTCAGAAAATAATGCACATCTAACCAGTCCATACTCAACTGCATACTTTAATCTTTTCGTGAGTTATGATCACACGTGTTATACCAAGATTATAAATCAAACTTAAGTGTACTTAGATTAGACGCAATTCATGAATAGTATAATCAATCATGTGCTTATGTGTCCCGTATTCTACTTGTTAGCATTGGAATGCAGAAATTTTGTAATTAGAACAGAAAAATATAAATAGCATAACAAAAGCTTTCAGGAACCATCATCACCGTAAAGGCTTATTACACTTATGAGTACGAATATGTTATACTTTTGTTCACAGATGCGAAAACTGCACAACACAGGATTTCAAGTGTCATTTGTCATCTTTCTAAATTTAGTTGTTCTATTCTTAGCAGTTCTTGCTTAATCTAGTTCTCTGATAGTATCTTGTAGATGCAATCATTCTTTTAGTTAACATATACACATAAAACATATAAACAAGTTCATTTTTATAATTGTTTCATCAGTAACCCTAGATGTTACCCCTCATAATAATTAATACCGCGGGTGATAGTTTTAAGTAATCATTGTCAATACATGAATACAATACAGGTATAGGCTTTTAAAAAACTCCAGTGTTTAATTTCACTATTAAATAACATAACAGAAATCGTGTACGTTATCTTCAAGGCATAATATATTCTTCCAACAAGAGCTTGCTATTGTTTGATTGTACCGTTCCTCTATACGTCAGGGTCATAGTAGTCTAATCATATTGGAAGAAAATACCCCTGGCTTGCGAAATAATTGTACGGTCTGGTTTTATTGCTGCAAGTTGTTCAAGGGGGTATTCAAAACATGGACGCATAAAATGGGTACACCAATTTTTGGGTAAAACGTTTTATTCGACAACAAAGAATGAAAAAACATGTTTTTTGTGATCCAATTGGAAGTGCTGGCAGGA